GCCGCTGCGGGAGCTGCGCAAAGCCGACTGGCCACGCGTGGGACCCCCCATCACCGACGCCCTGGGGGAGATCGGGGCCCGCTGCCCTTCGCCGCTGCAGCACAGCCTCTGGAAGAAGGAGGCTGTGGCCATCGTCTGGGCTAAAGTCCTGCTGCCGGGCCCACCGGCCGCCTCGCTGGACCAGGGGTGGAAGGAGGACGGCTTCTTCTCCGTGGGCAGGATGATCCCCGACGTTAACCACACCGTCCTCTTCGAGCTGGTCAAGGCCCTCGGTGCGCCCCGGCTCTTCGTGCAGCTGCTGCTGGCGCTGCCCCAGGATGTGCACCGGGGCGAGCTGGAGCACTTGGTGGAGTACATCGCCAGTGAGACGTCCCCGTCAGACGTCGGGTTCTTCTTGGACGTGTGGTGGGAGGTGATGAAACACAAGGAGGGACAGGAGGACGCAACGGTCTCTACGTTCAGCACTCTCATACGTCAGCATGGGTGCGAGTCCTCTCTGGACGATGGTCTCCAGCCCCCAAAGAGGTTCAAGGGTGACCCTGGCTCTCTGAATGACCCCCCTGCTGCCACCAGCCTGCTTACGGTCCTGATAGAGGGGTTAAAGCAAACCTACAGGAGCATCGCCCTGCCCCGCATGAGGTGCTACGCCTTGGCCAACCTGGTGGAGCTGCTGTCTGTGTTCTCCGAGCTAGAGCCAGAGGGCAGCCCCCTCCCTGTCGCAGAGTACCTGGACAAGGTCAGCTCTGTGGTCAGCCTCTGGACCAGCGACACCGAAAGCCAGTTCCACCACAGGAGGCTGGATGAGAAGGTGAAGGAAGCAGAGAGAAGCATGAGCCTCTTGTCCACGGCCAAGCTCTCTCGTGAGGAGCTCTTTGTTGGCTTGGACTTTCTCTGCAGCTTGTTGCATGCCTGGGGAGAGGAGCTGCAGGGCACCCTGAACAGCTCTGAGGAGCTCTGCTATGAGAGCTACCGGCTCCTGGACACGCTTACCACCTTCGGGAAGAACCTGGTTTGCTTCTCAGAGACTAGAGGCCTGGATGAGGATGAGACACGCATAGTGTTAGAACTGACACAGATCACCAAGGGCTTTCTCAAGGAGATCAGCACCAGCCTGAAGAGCAAGGATTTGGACACCAGCCTTGTGTCTTCAGTTGCCATGACAATCATTGAGCAAAAGCTGGACCGGCACGTGGAGATGTGCTCCATTTTTGCTTCTGAAAAGACCTGGCCCTTTTCAAAGGACTGGGTTGACTGCCTTGTGAAAAGCAAAGCTCTCTTCCAGAAACCAGAGCTAGTTCTGAAATTGCTGGAGACGCTGGTGAACTTCGCCACGTCCTGCCAAGACAAGGACAGCCGAGAGCTGCAGATGCAAGTGACCAAAGCCATCGTGGAGTGTTACACTGAGCTTTTGTTAACTGACAAAAACAAAGTGATCTCAGGTGTTCTGGCGTCCTGGGGCGGACCAGGTCTGTCCCTGAACTTGCAGGTTGTCATGGAGGGGTTCCAGGAGGATCTGAATGTGACTTTCAACCAGATCACGAAGAGCGTGTCTGATGAAGGCCTGACCAGGGCTGTGGCTTCTGTGGCTAGGCTCATGCTGCTGTACCCCGAGGCCACAGTGAAGCAGGTTTGTAATCTTGCTGTAGTCAACCTAGGAGCACACCAGTTCCTCGCGCAAATCCTCTGCTCCTTCCCAGCGCTGAGTTTCCTGGAGACCCACAATGATCCAGGCAGGCCACGCAGCCTGGTGGTGAGGTGTCTGGAGGAGGCAGTATGGGGGAGGCTTTCCACTGCGAGGGAAGAGGAGCAGTTCCTTGAGTTCCTAGCCTTTCTCATGCAGCCAAGCTCAGCCGCTCCGCTTGTGTCACCTGCAGAGGTGACCAAAGCCTTTGTCCTTCCCTATTTGAAATCAGACTCTGCTCAAATTGAGCTGAGCCTGCAGATCCTCAGTAAGGTTTTGGGGATACAGTCCTGTTCAGAAGAGCACTGGGTCAAGTCCTGCCACCCATTCCCGCTTCTCCTCAGCCTCTGCAAGCTTCTAGATGGTTACACAAAGTACTGGCATCAGCCCAGGGACCAGCTCTTCCCTTCGCTGGAGTCCAAGGATCTGGTACTGAACATCCTCTGCCAGCTCTGTGAGGTAGTAAGACCAGAAACCGCCCCCTCCCCTGAGCTGTGGGTCCAGTCGCTGGCTTGGCTTCACAGGAAGGTGGCGTCACTGGACTGGACCATCGGTCTCCGGCTGAAGAAGCTTTACGGAGACCACTTCAAGAACGAGGTCCCGGCGACGCTGTTTGAGATCTGCACGCTTCCTGAGGACGAGTGGACGTCCCGGCCTTTGCCAGCTTATGGACCGGGCAGCGGGCTCCTGGCATGGATGGAGTGCTGCTGCGTGTCCACAGCGCTCAGGGAGACAATGCTGACGCTCCTCACGGTCAATGTGGACAACCCTGAAGAAGTGAATCTTTTCAGCAAAGGGTTCCTGGTGGCCCTCATACAGGTCTTCCCTTGGTGCAGCCACAGCGAATGGAAGAGGCTCACGCACGTGGTCGAAAACCTGCTGCAGAGGCAAGTCCTGCACGTGCCGTACACACTGGAGTACGTGCAGTACATGCCCCTGCTCAACCTCCGGCCGTTTGCCTGCTACCTCCAGTTCTCCGTGCTCTTCTTGCGGGGCTTCCAGCTCCTCTGCAGCTCCAGCTGTTCCACCTGGCTGCCGGCAGAGGCTTGGCTCCACGTGGTCCAGCTGTACTGCGGCAGCCTCACGGACCTGCTGGGCTCCGTCAAGAGCGCTGCGGGGCCCCCCTCGCACCCTGCCGAGGACAGGACCTCCACGCAGGAGGTGTCCTTCATCTGCATCCAGATGTTCTGCCACGTGCTGCATGTCGCCGCCATGCTGCCAGACAAGGGGTGCAGCGAGCCGCTGGTGGTGGTGGCTTTGGAGATCCTCTCGCAGTACGAGACGTTCAGCAGTGCCGATACGTCCCCCAGCAACACGCTGCGGAGAGCCAACGAGAGGCACTTCCTGGAGTCCATCACGGACAACGTCGGTGACAAGGCGCTGCGTGGCACCCTCCTGCAAAAGCTCAGCAAGCTGGGAGCGCGCTCGGCCGGGGAGACGGCTTGAGAAGCTGGAGAGGGCGACAGAGGAGAGCACTGACCCTGCCTCAGGGGACACCTTATGTGGAAAGTTGTGAGATCTGTAATAAACCCGATCTATTTTTCTCTTTTGAACTTACTTCCCCTGTGCTGTGTTTTCTTCCAACCTGTCTAAGCAGTGAAGGGGCCGTGTAAAGATGGGTAGGAAGAACCACTCTCTAATTTTCCGGCGGGAATAGCTGTGGACACAGCTGTTGCTGAGCCGAGCTGCTGGTCCTGTGGCTCCAGCCTTGCCTGCTGGCGGTCTGGATTTATACAGAGAACCCGACAGCTTCTGACATCAGGGAAATCATTTCCCTCCGGCTCCCCTGCTGCCGGCCCTCTCCTAGTCCTGGGCGGATTGCTGGGCTCGCCACGTGCTGCCGGAGGCTGGGAAGCGAGTCGGGTGAGTTCAGGACGGGCAGGAACCTTTGGAAATAACGTGTGCGTTGCTCCTGCCCGGAGGTGGGGGTGCAACGGTAATCCCGTGTATTAACACCCCCCACCCAGAAATGAACGGCACGTGGGAGAGACATCCAGTGGTGTGACCCAGAAAGGAAATCTTTATTGGTCTCCTGATAGTAAACAGGGCAGTGTTAGTGCAAACTGAGATGCCTCATTGGCTTTTTTTTTTTTTGGTCCTTACACAAGATACATTATTTGCAATGAAAACAGCGAGATACAAACATCTGTAATAGGTTGCAAGCGGTTTATAACATCAGCTGGTCTCGATCGCTAATGTAACAGTAGTGTTTCTGTAATAACTGACTGCATGTTGGAAGAGGCCCTTTATTTTACCCTTTCCAGAATACAACCGTGGCTGGGACAAGATCCGACACCCAAAAGAACCAGGTCTCCCGGAGCTCAGCTGTTGGTTTTAGACAGAATGAAAGGCACGGAGTGGCCACAGGTCTCCGGGCACGGGGGGCTGCTGCGGCATCCCCTGCCAACGAAGGGCTCTGCATAGTGGCCAGAGACGGGGACTTAGCAGTCTCCTGTCCCCATCCTGCCCTTCAGCCATGGGCGCTCTGCCCTGCCAGCATTGCCAGCGTAACCGTTCCTCTCTCCTGGCGTGAGCTTCTCTCCCCTCCCGTCTGCTGGGGACACTGAAGCCACCCTCCCCTGGGACTGTCAGCCACAGGCACCAGACAGTTGTAGGGAAAAGCACCTTTGGGTTAAGTAGAGTCTTAAATGAGTTTGAGCCCAGCAGCAGTGGGAGGTAAGAGGCTGACCATGGCTGGAGTGTAGAGGTGAAGTCGGTAAAGGTCAGGAACAGGCTCTGCAGAACCGTGCCGCAGCCCTGGGGCCTGGCTCTGCTCTCAGCTGGAGGCTGTAAACCAGAGCCGGAGGAGCGAGCTGCGGCAGGTCCGGCACATGGCTCCCCGAGTCCCCAGTGCTGCTGCGTGGGGCTGGGCACGCTCCAGCATCGCCTCTGCTGCCGCCTCCGGGCTGCAGGCTCCTTCACGCCACGCTGGGTGCCGGTGGCTGGTGTCAGCCCATCTGCTGCCGTCCGGGCTGCCGGCTCCTTCACGCCACGCTGGGTGCCAGTGTCTGGTGTCAGCCCTGAAAAACGCGGGGGGGGTTTGTAACAAACCAAACAGAATCCCAGATCGTGCTTATGGGCAGACCTCAGACCTC